GCTTCATCCTGCCAGGGATGCGAATCATCCTTTGTCCAACAAACCTAGGTCATAAGTACCCGCCCCCCCCCAAAAAAAATGTCAGTAGACCTTTTGGTTATCAGATACACTATATCACAGTATCCTAGAACTTATGTTCAAGTAAACTTTATTTTACTTCATAATGGCCCCAAAGGGTAAGAGAAGTGATGCAAGCCATGTTCAAGAGAAGCCAGAAAGTGTTCCCTTTATATGAAAATGTGAAATACAATAAAATATTTAAGAGCGAGAGAGAGAGATCACATTCACCTGATTATTATTACAGCACATTGTTATAGTTGTTTTATTATAGCTATATATACAGGGTTTGATACTATCTGTAGTTTCAGGCATCTCTGAGGCATGGGGGTCTTGGATTGTGTCTCTCATTGATAAGGAAGGACCATTGAAAGAATTCCTTATCAAATACTTAAAACAGATTAAAATAATTATTTCTATTTTCAAATTATGACTTGCTAATTTATATATAAATATTTCTTCCTAAAATATAAAATTTTGTGCTATTTTCTAAATTCTCAATATGTGAATGTTAGAGAGATAGAATACAATCATAATAAATCTTAACAGAACAGAAGAACAAGGATAGGATCTTTCCTAAAGCAATCTTATTCTTTTTGTTTGTTTATTCATTCAACCATTTGTGTTTTGGAGACAAAGTCTTGCTAAATTGTCCATGCTGGTCTTGAACTTCTGGGCTCAGCCAATCCTCCTGTCTCAGCCTGCCAAGTACCTAGGACTATAGGTGTACACCCTCACACCCAGCTAACAATCTTGTTCTAGCCTGACCATTCTCTAGTCAGTTAGTAAAAGCAATGTTATTATAAATGTTTCAGTTACTCTTTTTTTTTAAGAGAGAGAGGAGAGAGAGAGTGAATGTGTGAAACTTTTAAAAGCTGTTAGGTTTTTGTGGCACAACAGAAACCTAGATTCCACTTTGGATAGTTGCTTGGTAAGGTGTTGTACTGGCATTCATCAAATGCTAATCCTAACCTGAGACAAAATAAAATATACCAAAGTACTGCTGTACTTTCAGAATTAGAAGGAAACTAACAAGTGGCACCAATATTACAAATATAGAACTCAATATTAGAAATCTCTAAAAGAAAAAATTTGAAGTAAAAGCCAAAATAGGAAGAGATCATATGTATGTGCTATACTAAATGTATAAAATAGGAATCACTTAGGTCGCCTGTCTGAACCATACCCAACTTTTCATGAGAGATCAGATGGGATGAGACTGTGGATCTCTAATTTCTTTAGTCAGACTTGAATAGAGAATGAGACAAGAAAGGGAGTCTTTAGAAAGCCCCAGTTAATATGCACCTCGGAACAGTTATCTCCCTAAATATATCAGGCAGAGGATATGAGGGAAACCCAGCCCCAAAAGGGAACATACACAGTACTAATCAAAAGCTGTGAAGTATGAGGAGGAAATGAAACCAGCAAAGAACCCAGAGTTGCCAGAGGAGATCTAATCAGCTGGGACAGTGGAGGTACTTAGAAACAAACCTGGGTCTACCTCATCATCTATTCCAGGTTCAGACTAGAAGGTCCAGTTTTGACATCCACTAGATAAATGTTTGGAAGAAGTAAGCATCTTTCTACCATGCTAGGATGCTAGGCTCCCAAATTACCAAATTACTTCATTGCCTCCAGCGACTATTGCATTCTCTCACTGTAGGCAGCTTGCAAATACGATGTCCTCACCAGGAACACAGTCACTCCTGTATGCCCCTGCTAATTCTGGCATTACATCGGGGACCATCACATTTATTCTGTCAGGAGTCTAATGGGAGCATAGAATAAGCAGTATCAATTAGGATGCTTGGACTCCAGGTGGCTTCTAAGATCAATTCAAACCAGCACAGAAGACAAGAGCACTTATTTATTATCTCACCTATTAGGAAGTTCAGGTGTTGTGAGAGCCTCCCTCTTGCCATCTCCATGATTTTCTGGGCTTTTTCTGTATGTTGGATTCATTAAGTTGGTAGGATAGTTCCTGCCTTCACATCCAGGCAAGAAAACAAGAGAGAGAACAGGGATTTCTCTTCTTGTACTCTCTTTTAGGAATAAAGAAAGCTCTCCCAGAAGCCTCCCAGCAGATGTGCCTTGAAGTCCCCATTATAATTGGGTTACAAGCCTTTCATTGACTAGCTCAGCCCCTGAAAAGGAGGAGGGGATTTTTCTGGTTGGTTTATACAGCCCCTGGATCTGAATGGGGCCACCTACTGGAATGAAATGGAGGAAGAGTATGTTCCAAAACCCAAACCCAGATTTTGTTGGATAGGAAAAAGGACAGAATGGATATTGAGTGGACAACCACTAATGTCTTCATAGACCTCAGTAAATATTGTGGATTGAATAAGTGAATAAACAAATAAAGATGTCTCCACTTCATTTGACTGTGCCTTATTTTTTTCTAAATAGAGTCTAAAATGTTCACTAATGTAAGAATGATGTTATTCATAAAAATCAGATTGTTCTTCACAAAATATTATAATTCTAAATATTTATCTTCATATATCAATGTTAATTTTGTTCAACAAATTTTCCAGACCATCTTACAGTGGTATGGTATATTCTTGGTGGTCAATCTAGTACAATCTAGGTTTTAAAGAAAACAGTATTTTACATGTGAACTTTGATTTAGCACCAAAATATCTAATATGCCTGTTAAGAGTTTGGGAGTATAAATACTGAGGCAATTTAGCACTCAGTTAATTATCAATCAGTAAAAAAAATTTACATTAGCCTATTTACTTATCTCACTCACAATCTGCTTTAGCAGTGATATCTTTTCAGTGTTATATGGACTACACAGAATCTGTGTCTTAAAGAACAACAGTGATAATGGTTTTAGAAATATAGTGAATTTGTTGTATATATACAATCAGGCACAAGAGGAAAATTCAGTCTCTTCTTGTATCCCCCTTCCCTACCCCATCCTCTTCAAAAACAAAAGAATAAAATAGTTGATAGAGCACACAATCTTTCCTGTGTGCATGATGCATCTGCAGGTCAACTGTGTGAAAATCCAATGAGTGGCTGGAGGTCAGACAACATCCACTCCCAGAAAGTGAAAAAATATTACTAAACCCCTCATTATACCTCTCCTTCTAAGACATAATGCCAACATTTGTACATGTTATTTCTTTCAAAATTTGAAAACCACTAAACACTACAAGGAGCGCACTCTAAAGACAAAGATGAGTCATTTTTGCCGTGCCTGATGATTCCCATCTTTTTCTAATCAGAGGTCACATGCTATGACCCAGGATAATTTTTGGTAGAGTGTTTAGAAAAGTTTTGAAATTCTATGCCCTTAGGTGATGTGTGCACTTTCCATTTCATTAAGCTGCCTGGGCCTTGAAGGTATTTGTGTTTGTTCTCCTAAAAATTACTTCAAGCTTATGAGAATTAGGCTTATAGTTAATACTAGAACACTTTCATTTTCCATTTTTTTGCTCAGTTTGTTTAAAAAAACATTAGAAAATGCAATGAAGTATTGAAACATTTTCATAAACATGGATGTTTAAAGACTCAGTGCTGTGGATCTGGACTTGTGCATGAAGGCAGATTATTAATGGAAACAATTATTTTTATCAGCTGGTGTTGTGAAGTCTAAATTCAAAATGCTAAGACTGAGTTATCAACACACAATGAGCAAATTACTATTGGAAAGCCATATTTTTAAAAGTTCAAAACCTCATGACAAGTTAACTGAAAGGATTTTCTAGTTTTGAATGATAGTTCAATCTTGCTCTTTGGTTTGTAAAGAGCTTAGAGCCCCACAATCAGGCCTCTATGATGAGAAAGGGTAGGAGGAAACTTCTTCCACTCTAGCCTCTAAAAGAGAGAACTTAAGCACCATACTCTATGACTTTTAGGCCTCTTCCCTGTAGGTGAGTGAATGTATGGTGGGCTGGTGCCTGATTCTTCTCAAGGAAGCTAAATTGGTTTAGGTAGCAACTGGGTGCACTGACCCTCTTGGTCTCTGACTGCAGGTCCAATGGTGTATAAGTCTTTGGAGGTGGACGCAGGCCTACTGTAGAAATGCTAACCTGGAACACATAACAAGGTATTCTGCCTAAGGGGATACTTTTCTATTAGCAACCCTCAGCTGCCAGTAGCATTGGGATAAAAGTAAAGTCAGGTCAGGGGGCATTATAGTTTGAGGCCTATCGGCATTAGAGGCTTAGTAGGTAGGCCACGGAATAATCCAGAAAGAGGAGTCAGCTTGAGCATCTGCTAGTATTAGAGGGTACAAAGGAAAGAACCTTACTTCTGCCTTCCCCTTCATCTACCTCCACACCACGCACTCTGTATCAACCTGAGAAAGGCTAGGGTAGAAATGATGGGGAAGGAAAATTGCCAACCACACCTTCCTATTTAAAAGGGAGGCAGATGGCCATCTGCTGTCAGTCCTAGCTAGGGCAGAGTGTGTATGTGTGTGTGTGTGTGTGTGTGTGTGTGTGTGTGTGTGTGTGTGTGGAAAGAGAGAGAGAGAGAGAGAGAGAGAGAGAGAGAGAGAGAGAGAGAGATTTGTGAATGAAAGACAGTTGATTAATGTATTCCCATTTATGAACTGAACTTATGCCTATGACCAAATAGACTGTAAGATTGTGTATTATCCAGGAGAGGAAACATGAAATTATCAAAGTTTTTTTTTTTTTTTCCAGGATCCAGGAAAGAAACACGGTCACTGAACAATTTCAACAGGACATGAGAGATAGACATCAAACTGCATTCTGATAGAATCTTACAGATTGCCTTTATTTAATATATCATGTATACATATAATGGATATATAGATCCCAAATACATATGTAGTAGCTATATATGATATATATATACAGTCTTTATCTAAGTTTAAATTTTAGGTATGAAATATTATAACTTTTAAATATTAGCTCTATTAAAACATGAAATTAAGATAATTTAAAGATAAAATATAATACTACCTTATTATGATGAAGCCATAAGTATTTTAAGTTTTTAAATCTAGATAGATCAATGACATCTGTCAGTTCCCTGGAAAGAAAAAAAAATGTGAATATTAGCAACAATGAATTTGCTCTTTGGTAAACCTGGACCTAAGAGTTGGTATGGTTTGGGAGTAACCAAAAAGGCCTATCTCTTTTTAGGCCCTTTCAAAATTGTAGGTACACTTGCCTGTAATTTCTGAAATTCCATCATTATAAGTTCTTCCCTTTGGATAAGATTTGTCAGCTGGTTAAAGCTAATATATACTTAAAGGAGAGCACTTTACAACATTAGCAGAAATTTGCATCTCATTATGACTGAATTTACAGCAACTTCAGTTCAAAACAGATTTTACTGGGGAGAGGGCAGAGAGGAAAAAGAAAGTGAAGAAGATATCGGGACTTTCCAGTAAATGTGAAAACATAAATTGACTCCTGTTTCAGTCTTGTCTGCAGGGTTCTCACTTTGGGATTGGTCCTGATCTTGGCAGACGGCAGAATGGGCTTAGGAGATGAAATTGCAGGATGCCAAAGGACAGAAGCTGACCAGAGTGCTTTATTTTTTATTCACAGTAGGTTCAATATGTTACCTTTCCCTTTTGCACTATGTGGGACTCCAGCTATCCAAGTGGTCCGGATCATGGTCGATGATGCAGTTTATTTTAAAAAATGGCAGGTGATGGGTGAGCACGGGGAGCTAACAGAAAAAGTGGGCAACACCTCTGAGGAGCATTGGCCATTTGACTGCTGTGGCCAGGAGTTTTCAGTTCATTTTATTTCTCAGAGCAGAAATTATAGGTCTCAATTATGTATACACAGAAGACCTTTGTGTTCATCAAACACTTATGTAGCACATACTGTTTTATCAAAACTTACAGAGCATATGAGAAACAGGAACTTATGAAAAAACTTTAAAAATACTAAGGTTACTAATGTTAATTATTATATATTAATTCATGGTATATCCTTTTCTTTTTTTTTTTTTCTTTTTAATCTTACGGATTGAACCCAGGGTCTCTCACATGCTAGGCAAGCACTTTACCAATGAACTATATCACAACCCTATTCTCAGATATTTTTAACCTTAGGACGCTGCAGGACTAAAATTTTCCCAACGTTTTTTGAAACTGTATATATTTTAAAAGTCATACAAACAATATTTTAAATGAAATAAATTTTTCTTACCAACTTTTTGTATCAAGATTTCAAACCTAAGAAAAGTTGAAGGAATGGTTCAATGAACACTTGTAGGACCTTCATAATTTTTAATATAGTGCCATATTTTTTTATATTCTATTTATCTAACATACACCCATATTAATGGGGATAATTTTCTTGGTGAATCATTTGAAAATAAAATATTATTATAGTTTTCTATATTCTCATTCTAGATAGTTTAGTACGCATATCCTCAAAACAGGACAGTCTTCAACAAAATCTCGATATTATTATTATGCCTAAAAATATTGAATATAATTCAATAATCTCATCTAATCTATCATTCATATTCATATTTCTCCCATGAACCTACATATCTTTTATAAGGTTTGTTTAAATCCAAAATCTCATCAACATTCGTATCTTGCATTCAGGTGCCTTAACCCGTTAGTTCTTTTAAAATTAGATTATTCATCTTCCGCCCTTTGTGACCTTTTGAAAAGTCCATCACAGTTGTCTGATAGAACACACCACATCCTTGATTTATCTCATCACCTCCTAATGATGAAGCTCAAGATAGATGACTTCTCAGTTACATCAGAGATAATTAAATTACTACATCACTTCAGGAGACAAATGATGTCAGTTTGTCCCACTCTTGGTAAAGCTAAGTTCAGTCACTTGGTTAAGGTGTTATCTGCTAGTTCTATTTTAAAATTGAAAAGTAATACATGGGACCAAGCTATAATCCCACGTGTATATCTTGTTCCTCAAACAACTCTTTACTCAGTGGTTTTAGATTCAATTGATGATCCTTACCATAATCAAGTTTTTTTTTTAATTATAAAAGAAGGTTTTTCTAGTGTTTTTATTGTTTTTACATGTAGGTAGCTGGAATTCTTCTGATAGATGTTTCTGCCCCCCCCCCCACCTGTTATACAGCTCTAGGGATTAGACTCAGGACCTTGTGTATGTGAGACAATTGTTCTACCACTGAGCTACATCCCCAGCCTTTTCTCTTCTTTCTATCATTCATTCTCTTCCCCATCCTCTCTGGATTTTAAGAGCTTTTTAAAAAAATTCTTTGTCAGTTTAAAAAAAAAAAATTCTGTAATCACCAGACTGAAGATTTTCAAGCAAACTCCTGTGTCTTTTTGACAAGTACCATGGTCTTTGAACATTACCTTGGCCCAGCAGAATATTCCAGCTTCCTCCAAAGCCACTTTCAATGGGAAATTTGCACTTAAGACATTCTCTTTATGTAGACCTATAAATAATTTCTGGGAAGGAGCACTTGGTCTTCAATGCACCTTAACTATTGCATTGGGCAATGATGAGAGTGTGTTAACTTCATCTCTTTCCATGACAAATAACAAAATAAGCATTACATGGTGGCTTCAAAGGATCTCAAGCCTGTCTTAGAAAATTGACTATAAAATTCATTTTAACACATTAGTACTTTAATATATAAACTGTGTCAAGTTATTATTATTAATTTTTTGTGGTACTGGGTATTAAACTCAGGAATGCTTTACCACTGATGTATATACGAGCCCTTTTTATTATTTTAGTTTAAGAAAGGGTCTTACTGGGCTGGGGATGTGGCTCAAGCGGTAGCGCACTCGCCTGGCATGCGTGCAGCCCGGGTTCGATCCTCAGCACCACATACCAACAAAGATGTTGTGTCCGCCGAAAACTAAAAAATAAATATTAAAATTCTCTAAAAGAAAGAAAAAAGAAAGGGTCTTACTAAGTTGCCAAAGTAGAACTCACAATCCTACTGCCTCAGCCTCCCGTGTCTCTGGGGTTACAGGTGTCTGCCACCTGTCCAGCTTGCTATTAATTTTCTTCTAGTAGAAATATCAACGTTGAATTTCCAGCTATTATAGGACATAATAAAGTGATTCACTTTTTAAAAGTGCTTTTACTCTTTCAAGTTGGAAAGGTTCATTCTGCATATAACCTGTCCTAAATCAATAATGATCTGTTAACATTTTAAGGAGGTGGCAACAGAAGACAAAAAGAGGTAGTTTTCCTGCTAAAAATCGCCATGACTCATGCTGACAATAACATATCAACACATGTCACCATGCATATTTTTTGTGATTATTCAAGGAGATTTTGATAAGATGCTTTCCATTTTCAAAGGGCAAATAATGCAGTAAACCTAGTTTATTGGCCTCTGAATTGTGAAATATTTTTTGTCCCCCAAAATGGTAATTTAATATTCTGGAGATATAAAAAGTGCTGTCCTTCACACAAGAAAACCACGTTCAGGGGATCAATAGTTCTTATTTTTCTAGTGTTTTAAAGCTATTCTTTTTATCTACTTACCCTAGTGATCAATAATAAACAGTTTTCAAAATCATGAAAGTTTAGACATGCAATTATTTGACCACATGAATTATTTATCATTATTGTAAAACTAACTGATCTATTTATTGAAAGGCTCAAAATATGATCTTAAAGGGCTGAAGTTGTAGCTCAGCCATGAAGCACTTGCCTCATATGTGTGAGGCACTCGGTTCAATTCCTAGCACCACATATAAATAATCAAATAAAATAAAGATCCATCAACAACTATAATATTTTTTTAAAAAATGACCTTACGTGTGTCAGAAATCTTTACTATGTCTCTTTTGGTCCACACTAGATGTGTTTTAAAGATTTCAAATTGGTCATCTCTTTATTCCCTTATTATCAAAAGATTCAGAGCCACTATAAAGATAATTTTCTTTTATACTAGTAAGTTAAAAACAAATATTTAATTAGAACAAAAGAAATATGTTCACTAATGAAGTATTTCCTCAAATCACCAGAGAGAAAATTATTTAATTCACTGATAAATGATAAACCAGGTTGTTGGTTTTTTTTTTAACCAAAAAAGTGAGTTTTACTCTTGTTTACATATTAGTAAAAGTATGTAAAGCCTATTTTTAAAACATAGAATTTGCAGGCATTAAAGATCACTAAGGGGAGCTGGGTGCAGTAGTGTATGCCTAAAATCCCAAGGATTCGGCAGGCTGAGATAGAAGGCCAATCTGGGCAATTTAGGAAGATCCTATCACAAAATAAAATTTAAAAGGGCAGAGGTGTATAGTTCAATGATAGAGTACCTCTGGGTTCAATCCTCACTACTGGGGGAAGAGGGAGGAATGAAGAGTAAAATAGTATGTATCTAAAGTTTAGTTTGTGCTGTTATAACAGCATACCTGATAATAGGTAATTTATGAAGAACCAAAATTTATTTATTTATTACAATTCTGAACACTGGGAAGTTCAAGGTCAATGTCCCTATATTTGCAAAGACTCTTGTTGAATCATAACATGGTGGAATGGCTCACATGGTGTGGGAGGAGTGGGAGAAGACCAAGTACATTTTTTTTTTAGGAACTTACTCCCGAGATAACTAATCCAGTGTGGTGATAATGACATTAATCTATGCATGAAAGCAGAGCCTTTGTGACCTAATCAATTCTTAATGGTTTTACTTCTTAATGGTGATTCATCAGGGATTATGTTTCCAACATCTGAACTTTGGGGGTCATATTCAAACCAGCAAAGGGTCATTGCTATTAAATAAAAGCTATGCCTGTACAGGATTTCACTTATTGGCCTAAAAATGATAGTGTCACACTACAATCCTATCCGTAACTTCCTCTTCTCATACCTAGGTTCTGAGGTACTGTGACTGACCTACAGAAAAACCTACTTTGTCATATACCAGCTTGGAGAGAATTTATTTGGAATCAAAGTGGGTTGTTGATATAAGGAAGGGATTTTCCTATTTAGTAGCAAAATTATTAAGGTTGTTAAGAGTTATAGTATTTAATAAGTTTTATTATAATATAGGAGTGTAATGGGCTATTATTCCTAATGATGATGATGATAATAACAATATTAACGGACTAATGATAATTGAGGACCTGGATACCAGATCTTCTTCTAACTTCTACTAACTCACCTAATCTTCACAACAACCCCATGTCTAAGGAGTATTAGTACTCACAGGAAATAGGGTTGCTAGATAAAATATAGGCTATCCAATTACATTTGAATTTCAGAGAAACAAAAAGAAGTTTCAAATACTGTATGAAATATATTTTAAAAATTGTATCATTATTTCTCTAAAATTCAAATTTAATTAAATAGTCTATATTTTTTATTTGCTAAATCTGACAATCGTAACAGGGAGTTTACACAATAACCCAAGATTGCCCAGCTGGAAGGATAGAGCTGGAATTCAAATTGGGCCTGGCTCAATATTCTTTGTTTTGATCTCTCTTAGTATCTTGCTAATTCAATGGAATTGGTGAGCCCCAACCAGGGGTAAAATAATTTGGATGCAGTTGCCTACCCAGTCTATGAGGTAGGGGAACTGAACCTGTGAAAGATTATAACATAATACTCTTGTTTTTTATTTTATTTTATTTTATTTTTAATATCAAATACACTTACTTTTGAGAAAGGAACAGCTCAAAGACATCAACATCTCTCTTGTGGCCACACATCTTTAGTTGATCTTCAACTGCCTAGTAACATATAATTAATCTGTCAAGCCACATTCCAGTGGGCAAAAGTACCGAGACATTTGCAGTCAATAACAATACGTCTACAAGAAGATCAAAAGGAAGGTGAGCATCCAGTAACCACTCTAAACTGATAAACTCCAACACTGCAATTATATATTATTTACTCATTTTTGTGGTTGAATTTCATTATTTTAAGTTCTGGGCACAGATGTACAAATAATTTTTAATCAGAAAAGAAAAAGTGCATGTATACATATATACCCCAAACAACTTTTTGATTCTGTCTGAGGCAGGATAATTTGGCCTTTAAATAATTATTCTAAAATGCTTCTTTAAACATAAAGTATTTGTATTAGATAGGTTTCCCATACTTATGAAAGACATAGTATTGGGTTGGAGGCAGAGGGTGCAAGATATAATGTATAACACTATTGAAGATTCTTCTTTATTGTCTATCACATTATACTTGGCACCCAAGAAGTTCACAGCAAGTGTCAAACAAATGAATAAACGAGTGAACAGATGTCATGATTCTTTGAACAAATGAATAGATATATTTCCCCTTGGTTGGTAAGCAACAGCGTCTTCATTTTTCATGAGTCACTAACACACTCATACTGTGGGAGTTTTGGGTGAAGAAGCAACTTTTATTCCCTAGGTTTTGTTTTGAAAATACAAATCCAGCAACAGTTATAAAAGGGCTTTGCTTCTTCTTTTTAGGAAGAAGAACATTTGCTAAATTATAAAAGAAATTATAAAATTATATTTAGAAATTATAAAAAGAACATTTTGCTAAATTAGGAAAGAACATTTGTAGTCCACATGACCTAAAATGATATGGAAAAATTAGAGCCCATCTACAATTTGCCATAGAAGAGTAAAGTTAACAAGACACAAGGAAAGGTAAAGGAATTATTTTTGTGGTTCTGGAACATAACAAACAATGTCATTATCAGAATCAAAACAATCACCAAATTTCAGCTAGGATTTGTTGTGGGTGGTAGGGTTGTAATGTCAGCAAGTGATTTATAAAATTCTGAGAATGGTTTTGCTCTTTAGTAGAGAACTTTAGAAAAACAGTTAAATTTAGTGGGGTGAATAAATATTTAAAGAAGTAAGGAAGGTGGGTCTACTGGAGATGGAAGGCAGCTGCATAAGTATAGTTTCAATCTTACTTTGATTCCTTGTTAAACAATCTGAATCTAGGAGCTTGTGGAATGTACAGGTTTAGGCCTAGGTATTTCTATCAGGGTATTTTTGTTATCCTGTGACATAACCTGAATCTTGGAAAAACTCACTGGATCAGGCTTATTCTCATCTGGGGATTTTAAACATCTAAATTCCCAGTCTCTACTGTGTATTGCTAATCACAATTTTCCAAAGTGTTTGGGTGACAAAGGCTGGTAAAAGTAGAGTTTAAAATTTGCAGTTAACTGTTAAATTTATAAATGTACTTTTAATTTCATCAGTCAGCCCATATCTATTACTCAGAAATACACAGGTATATATACACCAAAATGTGAATATTATTGTTCATCTCTGTCTACCTTGTCTGTGTTTGTGAAATAGTCTCAATAATTGGAATACAGATTAAAGTGTGACCTCACAAAGGAGTACTGTGCATGCAGAAATTTAAAAACTATAGAAATGATGTGATGGCTAATTTTATGTGTCAACTTGACTGAACTAAGGGATGCCCAGATGCTTAGCAAAACATCATTTCTGGACGTGTTTGTGAGTATATTTCCAGAAGATATTGACGTAGAAGAGATTGACATTTGCATGGGTAGGCTGAGTAAAGTAGTTCACTCTCAATAACATGGCACAGGGGGCGGCGGGATAAGGGCATCATCCAAACCTTTGAGAACCAAAACAGAAAATCAGAGAAAGGATGAACTTACTTTCTCTTCTGGATGCCCAACCAAGGGCATCCATTTTATTCTGTGGGTAGACATCAGAACTTCCAGGTTTCAGGCCTTTGGTCTTAGACTGGAATCACACCACTGGCTTTTCTAGGCCTCCAGCTTGTGTACATAAGACTATCGGACTTTTTGTTTTAATTTGTTCTTTTTAGTTATACATGATAGTAGAGTCAATTTTGACATATTTATATGAACATGGAATATATCTTATTCAAATTAGGATCCCAGTTTGTTGGATGTACAAGATGTGGTGATTCACTGTGGTATCATTCGTATATGTACATAGGAAAGTTATGTCAGATTCATTCTACTGTCTTTCCTATACCTATCCTCTCCCTTCCCTTCTTCCTCTTGTCTAATGTACTGAATATCTATTCTTTCCCCTCTCTTATTGTGTGTTAGCATCCACATATCAGAGAGAATATTCAACTTTTGGTTTGGGGGATTGGTTTATTTCACTTAGCATGAGTCTCCAGATTTAACCATTTGGCTGAGTAATATTTCATTGTGTACATATATACCTCATTTTCTTTATCCATTCATCTGTTGAAGGGTACCTAGGTTGGCTCCATAGTTTAACTATTGTGAATTGAGATGAAATAAACATTGATGTAGCTGCATCACTGTAGTATGCTGATTTTAACTCCTTTGGATATATGCTGAGAAGTGGTATAACTAAGTCAAATTGTGGTTCCATTCCTAGATTTTTGAGGAATCTCCATACTGCTTTTCATAATGGTTACACCAATTTGTGAGTGTACTCACTAATAATGTGTGAGTGTACTCTTTTCCCCACATCCTTGCCAACATTTATTGTTTCTGTATTCTTGATAGTTTTGCCATTCTGACTGACGTGAGGTAAAATTTTAGAGTAGTTGTAATTTGTATTTCTTTAATTGCTAGAGATGTCTAACATTTTTTTCATGTATTTTTTGACTGTTCATATTTCTTCTTTTGAGAAGTGTTTAGTTTCTCAGCCCATTTATTGATTGGACTATTTGTTTTTTGTTTGTTTATTTTTGGAGTTAAGGTTTTGAGTTCTTTGTATATTCTGGAAATTAATGCCTTATCTGAAGTGTGGTGGTAAAGATTTTCTCCCATTCTGTAGGCCCTCTCTTTATGCTCTTGATTATTTCTTTTGCTGTGAAGGTTTTTAGTCTGATTTAAAAAAATCAATAAATGGGATGGTGTATTTATTTCATGTCTTGTGCTTCAGGACAGACTGCACAACTTCTGACTTCAAAATCTAGTTATCTAATCCCTTGTCCTAAATCATTCTATGTATTTGTTTATCTTATTGGTTCTGTTTCTCTGGAGAACCCAATCACAAGATAGATATCAAGACACAGAAAGATATCCAAAACATTTTTAAGAAGTAATTGTCATTATAATTTGTGTAAGTACAGCAATATTTTTGTTCAAAATAACACGTACACACAAAATGCACACATTCCAAATTGTTAGCAAAAATCATCACTTGAAAACATGAGGAAATTTCATTTTCTTTTCTCTCTCGCTCTTTTTTTCTTTCTTTCTTTTTTGAAATGCAATCCTCTGACCTCAGTTTTCGAGGTAGCCAGGACTATAGACACACGCCATCGTGCCTCAAGGTAATACATTTTTAAATGTTTGACTATTGTGATAAGCACATATTAATTTGATCATCAGAAAATAATACATATTTTGACAAATTTAGCTGTATGATAAATATTTAAAAGGATTTAAATCAGATTCAGAAAACGAGGAGACAAAAGGGGAAATGGAAAATACCAGCAGTATATGTAAATCACTGGTATAATTATTCACTCAACTTTGAATCCTGGCATGCTTCTTTCCAGCCAACAATTTTGTGTGGATCTAGTACAAAGTATGAATGTTAAAGTGCCAAGAAACCTGAAATTGTACCAAGAAGTTCAAGTTTCAGCCGAACTGTGGAGAATCAGTTCTAGTCCCCACCCACACACAGCTACTCGGTTGCATGTTTTCATCTCAAGGCAGGCAACGAGCACCCTTTCCCTATTTTTAAAAACAGTGGTAAAATGCATCCCCCAAGGGATTTACCATTTTAAAGTTTGTGGTTCTGTGGCATCAAGTGTATTCCCATGTTGCACATTTGCCTTGCTGAGCGACCATCACTGTCTTCCATATCACAACTTTTCATCTTCTGTAACAGGCTCGGCACCCAGAGGCTACCTACTCTCCCTTCACTCCTCCCTCCAGCCCCTGGAGCCTTGCGTTCTATCTTCTGTCTCTGAGTTTGACTAGGGACTCCCACCAAGTGGAATCGTCTGGGTGCAACTGGTTTATTTCACTTAGCATTGTCTTCAAGATTCTTTCATGTTGTAGCATGTGTCAGAACTTTTCTTCATTTTTATCTATCTACCACATTTTCTTTACCCATTAATATGTCAAAGGACACTTGGGTTGATCTTGATCTAACTTTTGGCTGTTGCAAATAATACTACTGTGAACACAGATGTACAGAGATCTTTGTGAGTCTTTCACTTATTTGAGCAAATAAACAGTAATGGAATTACTGGATCATATACAATTCTATGTATAATTTTTTGAGGAATTTTCATACTGTTTTCTACAGTGACTGCATACTACAAGCATTCTTTAAGATGAACATATTTTAAATTGTAGGTCCAAACCTATTCACTCAGCCATTTATTCAGTCAAACTACTGAGCACTTAATCCAGGTTGTGACTAGTTTAGTCTGTGACCAGCTGGTAAATTGGAGAATAAATTAGGTAAGATGCCTGTTCTTTATGAACAAATCTGTTAGTAGGGGAGGTAAAAAACATAGAATGATACAAAAGAAGGTTGCAAATGTGAAGTGCTGTAAGAAAAGGAAAAACATGCTCTGGCAAATTCAGAAGAAGAAGAAATTCCTGTCAGTCTGGGCACTATGAGAAGATTTCAGGGCAGGATCAACAGGCAGATCCATAAAGGGTGAGAAGAAAAGAAACAGGATGTTGGGGGAAGAAGAGAGTAAGAACACAAAAGAAAGAAATTATGAGGTGTGTGGTGCTGTGTGGCCTCTGGCTGAAAAGGCAAGTGGAAAGCAACCGTGAAATAAATTAAGAAAGGTGGGCTTGCATTATATTATGAGAGCTAATGTTGAAATTTAGGCTTGGATACGTGTGCTTAATCAGTGCCCAAATAATACTTTTACAGGCTTGGAGAACTCTCACTGAAGTCTACATATTTTAAGAAAACTTATAATTTCTTTATTTGTTTCTTTTTAGATATACATGACAGTATTTTGCCATATTATACATACATGGAGGATAACTTACTCTAATTAGGATCCCATTCTTGTGACTGTACATGATGTGGAAGTTTCACTGGTGGTGTATTCATATATGAACATAGGAAAACTATGTCATAAACTATAATTTAAAATTAACTTAGTTTACGTGATCTATACACATATATGAAATACACACACACACACACACACACACACACACACACCCATGCACTTGGATTAGCTACATAGTAAAATCTAAGAAAGTTCTGCTTTTTCCCATGACAACCACATCAATGCTTTTAAACAGTATCCAATGTGAAGCTATTTCAAAAGCATTTGTCCTCTTTTTCTCTTGGTGCCCTTGTTTTGTTGATACTCTAAAAGCATGGACTTAATTAAGTATTGGGTAATTCAGCATTGACTCAATTCTGGAACAATAGGGATATATTGCAGGATTTCTGAACATGAGAGAAGACGTTGCAGGCTAGGCTTCAGGAAGGTGCCTTTCACAATAAGGTATATGATGGCCTGGGGTGCAGAGATAGCTGCAGACAGCAAGCAAGGCCACCTCTAGAAAATCCAGATCATATCTAATGAGCCTGCCCCAGGGCGATGGCAAGTGAGAATAAGTAGAGAATAAATATGTTATGGTGTGAATAGAGGGCATTGGTGGGAACTAGCAGGCAAATGGAGGTTCTGCAAGGGCAAGAGAAGTCACTGGTGATGCTCATGATGTGATGACTTGATGGTGAGAAAGGTGACTAGGCTGGGAGGGTAGATAGAGTTGGCTGAGAAATGCTGAGACAGAGGCCCTGATGGAATATAGAAGTCAAGGCCTCCACCAGAAAGCTGCAAGTGTGAAAGCAGATCTCAGAGACATCAAGGTGGATTTGAAGCTCTGGTGAGTCCTGTCAGTCCACAGGAGAGAGGGGGACCCAAGTGCAATCATGGTGAAGTGTCTACTTATAGTGAGAGGAGGAAGGAAACAAGCTGGGTGTGGAGATAGAGGAGAGGTGGTTGTAAAGTTAAGGGTGAGATCTTGGGGCAGTGGGACCCCTGAGATGGGATTTCAAGAAGATAGAACTTAAGTCTGCAGGATGGCACTTGGGTGAAGGTATTGAGTTTGGAGACCAATTTCAGTAGCCTGGTGAGGGGGGAAATTAGATTTCAAATTAATTGGTTAACACCACAGGAAAATAAAAACAATCCGACACAGAACTGGGATGAGGACAATTCTAGCATAGGGAGAAAACAACAACTTCCTCCATTGCCCAATGCCTTAGAATCAAGAGTCAACAGAAAAAGGTTTTAAAACTATAGGATTATTCAATCCTAGAATAGTCTGTATTGAAGTCTATAGAAGAAACTATCCCTTTTAAAGATTAATTCCTACACCTACATGCAGCACACCCCACCAGTTAGCACTCGGCATGAGTGGCTTTCAATACGTTCATTCTTCGTGAATCATCGTAGCCCCTAGCCTCTCAGGTCTGAGCACTTTAGGAAGCCTTGCTAGCCTCTGTGTTGCCCGATTCTGAGATCTCCCCACCCCCACCCTGCCCCTAGATATTCCTTAAGCCATCATCTTAATTGCTCTCAACTTTGCTTGTTCTGTCCCTCAAAGAATTTGTCCTCTTCAACTGTTTATTTGTACTTCAGGGAATCAACATTATCAGGGATCACACAGATACAAATATATGTGAGATTTAAGAGTTCAAAATCCCTGGCCTGAAAGTCTCCAAATCACCCTAATTAAATACACAGTCGTTATTGAGCGGGAAAACGTCAATGTCTTTTAGTATGGATCTCTGGTAGATCCCAAACTCTACCCAGGACATTTTCGACCTCTAGTCCAGGTAGAGGGACTTGGTGGCGTTTACAATTGCTGGACCCCCTTCTACCTGAACCCCAGGAGCAGCCTCTAGCTGTCCTGGGAGTCTTTCTCGGAAGGGAGGCGCTGCTTACCCGAAGACTCTTCTGTAGCGCAGTTTCGGGGACCCGAGATTTGTTGGAGCACTGGAAGGCGCGGGACATGGTGCTTTGGTCTCAGGTCATCCGGAAAATGGGCGATCAGTGGCACCAGTAGTCCACATGGCCGGCCCTGCGGTTCATTGTTCTGTCACCAAGAGTTTATGCATTCCGGTCAACCTAAAGCCAATCCCAAGGAGAGAAGATGTGAAGCGGAACCCTGACTTTTGTGACGTTTATGTGTGAAGTGACGTTTATGTATGAAATTACATTTATGTGTGTGATACCACAGCACACCTCTGTGCTAGGATGATGCTGGGGCGACACCTGTGGCAAACACAGAAAGAGTAAATGCCTGAAGCCAAGCTTGGGTCAGAGGGCCTGAACGAGCCACTCAGGGATAGTTTCATTGATTTGAAATAATAATATCAGAAAATTTAGGTTTCTGAAAATTAGATACGTCTCGTGACTCCTGGGCAATATTGGCGAGTAGCGGTTCCCCTGCGGAGATAGGGGAGCTTAACGCAAAAGGATAAAAACATCTACCACTGATTCTGTCTTAAAATCCGACATTTGGTTCATCATGGATTTTTTAAAATACATTTTGATTTAAAAATATTGTATTAAGATATTTATTTTAAATGCTGAGTTTTTGGTGTCCCTTACATTTTGCACCAAGGCCAGTGCCTCCCCTTGCCTCATCATAGACCCAGAACTGGCAGGGGAAGGGGTGGCAGTATTAAGGTTCCCCAAGATTCCAAGTGCACAGAAAATGAAATTCTGCTGATTTCATTGGCCAAGAGAAAAAGCAGGTTGATTCGGTAGATGAAATGTCCTTTCTCTGGTATAAAACAGATACATTGAGACATTATTTTGCCAGTCCTTCTAACCTTTACCAAAAAAAAAAAAAAAAGGAGAAAGAGAAGAAGAAAAACATTTTACAACTGATTGTTCTCCACCTAGCTATATTGAAAACCTCTGTCAAGATTATTTTATAATCTTATTTAAATCTTATTTGAATCTTATTCCCCTCTTGCTTGGGTAACTTTAAGATTGGATACTGTTTATGACATCCCTGTATTATACTAGAGCCTAACACAATATTGTTTTTAAAAATGTTAATTGAATTTAATGAGTTGGTGTCTAGTCTCCAAATTTGAACCTGAAATTTTGCAATTAGCTTTTTTAAATGGGTTAAAATAATTGCATTATAGTGTTGGTGAAAAGCAAGTATAGTGGAGAAAGCAAGAATATATTATTTCAGTTCTTCTAAAAGAAATTTGGGTCTGGGTGGGGTTAAAAATCCTCTAAGTTATCATGAAGGGAGTAATCATCTGAGAACTATCATTTAAATAGTCTTTAATCAGGGAAATAAAAATCAGACAAGAGGAATGGTCTACTGAGAAAGTATATTAAATAATTTATTGGCCTCTTCCATATTTGTAGTTAAGGTGTGTTATAGCATTTTAGATATTATTCATGAATGTGCTGTGTTGACAATGGAAATGCATAGTACTTATTCAACTTTTTACAAATGTAATTTTTAAGACCACAATCATAATAGATTTATAGACATCTTACAGAAGTAAACTATTTTTATATTTTCTATAAAAATCACATTTAAAAAAATTCATCCTTTATTTATTTTTAAATCTTTTCATGTTACACTGATTAAGATAGAAATATATTTTTTAAAGCCTACACAACAAAACCTCTTCTTAGGAAAGCAACTCAGAAACTCTTTTATTCTAAGGTCTTAGTGTGTTCTCATTTCAAGAATAATTTACAATTTAATGATCGTGAAGGCTAAAATAATGCAAACTTAACCATAGGATGTCAAGGACAAAGGTTAATGAATATACTTTTTATGTAAAGACTCTTCCCAGATATCCTCATACTGGGGGTTTAAATTTTTTACCAAAGTAGTGTCACTAGCAGAGTGAGCAGAAAATTTTAACTTCCATAGGGTGGGATTATAGCCTGAGGAATGCAGCCTGAGGTTTTAAGAATTTATGTAAAATGTACATTCTCCTTTGCAATCAATCTTGTTTTAATATAAAAATAAAGTGGTTCATCTAACTCTCCTCAAATCTTTGAGTAATATTTACACTGAAGCAAGACACCCTGTGTTTATCCTGTGGCTTTACCTCCCTGGCTTGCTGCCATTGCTGCGGGGGGATGCATACCCCCTTTTGAAAGCTCTATCATATCATATATGTGGTGTTGGATCAGAAGAAAGAGCCTGTGCTCCAAGTCAGGGCTTGTGGGGTTTAATCTCAGCTCTGACGTTAACTAGTTGTTGGCCAATTCCAAAGCACTTAATGTCTTTGGGCCTCAGTTTCTTCAACAGTAAATGAGCAAGTTGAAAGTTCAGTTAAAATTTCATGTTGTTTAGTTATACTTTCCTGTACAGGTAATATGAATTGTTTACAGAGTTGAAGATTCTTATGGTGATGTTGAAATAGAATCATTTTTAAAAAACTTTTCAGTGGAAAATGTGCGAGGAAACCTACATAAGTTTAAAAATTCTTCCAAATTTGTCTTGAATCATTCCAATGATCAGTCTAGATGCTATCTTTTGAGTAAAAAATATTTATTAGATAAAATGATAATTGACACCCGTTTTCTGCTGAATCAGAATACAAAGATCAATATATTAATCACAGTCAACACATATTTATAAAAAGGTATACCTGGGGCTGGGGTTGTAGCTCAGTGATAGAATGCTTGCCTAGAACAAGTGAGGCCCTGGGTTTGATCCTCAGCACCACATAAAAACAAATAAACAACAAACAAATAAATAAAATAAAGGTTAAATTCTTTATTTTTTATTTTTATTTATTTATTTTTGATATTAGGGATTGAACGCAGGGGTCCTCAACCACTGAGCCGCATCCCCAGCCCTTTTTTACCTTTCATTTGGGGACAAGGTCTCTCTAAGTTGCTGAGGCTGGCTTTTGAACTTGCCTCAGCCTGGGATTGTAGGCATATGCCACTGAGCTGGGCCCAATAGCAAAAGGTTAAATTCTTTTAAAAAAATATGCCTGTTTGCATGATTTGGTGATAAGGTTATGAATATATTCATTGTTAAAAGTTTAGATGAAATAATGTCTCATTTTAATTGATAATTACATTTTTTCTGGCTTACCTAAAATGCAAATAACAATGGAATGTTGGGGGACAATTCTCCATGAATCCCTGTGTTGTTGCACATAAGTAAAGGCATTGACTGCTTTTACTTAGGACTATTTTTTCAAGGATGTTTGTATAGTGAAGAGTCTTGGAAGATATGGTATCTACCATCAGAGCAAAATGCAGGTGTTTTATTTTGGTTTGGTTTTTAATTGGGCAGCATAATAAAAATTATGTCTCTATTCCTTATAATAAAGATAAGGTTAAGCAGACTTATTGCCCAATATAGATTTGCTTTCCCTAAACTCAGGGTTCCTCTTCTGTAACACAACTCGTTTGCATTTTTTTCTACAAGGAAATAATCATTTGCATTTGCATTGTTTTCATATTCATTGCTTAATATCCAAATGCCAACTATAAACCTCACAAGCTAGATCTGTAGATCTAGATCTCTAAAGAGTTTCCTAGTTATTTCTTGAAGTCATCAATGGGTTGTTTCAAATCATCTTGCAGCATCTGGCAAAGCTGTATTCCCTTGCTTTCCTGTTTTACTTAATACCTGCTGCATTCAGACTGTTGAAACAAACTTCATTCCTCTATCCCCAAAGTTCCCCTTTTGATCTCTTGGATCCATGCCCAGAATGTTATCACTTGATGCTCTAAGTTTTGGCATTTTTAAGATATTAAAGTGGTAGTGGGTTCTGAGCTGATAGGGGAAGCATATATCTTTCCCCAGTACCATGTCACATTTTCCCATAGGGTTCTGAAAGAATACCACCCATATTTAGTCTTTATTAAACTGCTTCAGAAAAGCAAAAACTTTTTGTTTTTTTCACCCTTTGTTTCTTTTCAATATTTGTACACAATCCCCTAAATGCCCACCTGGATAGGAAAGGGAAGTATCTCAGGTTTGGAAACATTCAAACTGTCTAGAAGAGCTGGAAACTGCTAGACATAATTTTAGATGAAACGAAGTAAATTCAGTTGCAAACTTGTGCTGAAATCAGTGTGATTTCACATTTTCTCCCAAGATTATGTAAGCCCCCAAGTTTAAGCTCTGTCCATATTCCCAGACAGACACTTATTGCGTTTGGGGCTAGGGGAGCACAACTCCATCATTTTGGGATCCTAAGGAATAAGTGAAAAAAAGAACAAGGACTTCAGGTAGGTACATTTACTTGTGAAATGTGAGCAGAGGGTGGGTGCCAAGAGAAGAATGAAAGCAGGGCATTTAAATAATGGAGCCAAGGACAGAAGGCCCTAGGCTGAAATTAGAGACGGTACAGAGTGGAAAAATGATTTATAAAAATTAATTTCCATTACAGTATTTTAATGTGTGAAATCACTGAAATTTCTAACCCATATTGTGCTCAATTTAGACTTGGTGAGGATTGTTAGAAAAATTTTCCTAAACTAGAATAGAAGTCTTGTTAATGCAGTAGAAACGTATCTTGTCACACATGATATAACAATCAGGAATTTGAAATACGAATTCTCTATAAAAGTACACATATACATGTGTGTACACATGTATGTATTTTGATGTATGTGCCTGTATGTGTGTGTATGTGTACATACACATGCACCCCCCAACACACACATATGTGCAGAATAGGTGCTACGGTTCTGATGTGGTTTGTCCCTTGAAGGGTTCATGTGTTGAAGGTTTGGACCTCAGAGTAGCAGTGTGGAGACATTGAGTGGCAGAACCTGTAAGAGGTGGAGCCTAATGGGAGGTAGTTAGGTCATAGATAGCTGCCCTAGAAGAGCTTAAGGCAGTGCTTCTTAGACCATGGCACTTCCCTAGAGAGTGAGTTATTATGAAAGAGTGAGCTTGATCCCTGAATTGTTCTCTGGTTTCCTGCCTCATCACATGATCCCTCTCCCACATGTTCTTATTATGCTGGTATCTACCATGAGGTCCTTGCTATGGGGAGAAAAAATACAGCTGCCTAATCATGAACTTTCAGTCTCTCAAACTGTGAGCTAAACAAACCTATTTATACACTACTCAGACTCTGATGTTTTTAATCACAGAAACAGAAAATGGACTAAGAACAGCAGCAACCTTGACAGTGCCCTCAGTGACCCCTGCCTCCTGGTGTTCACATCATTGGAAGATCCCCTCTCTTTGCATATGGGATGGATTTATGGGTTCACTTCTTTTTTTAATATTTATTTTTTAGTTGTAGTTGGACACAATACCTTTATTTTCTTTATTTTTATGATGCCGAGGATCGAACCCAGGGCCTTGCTCATGCTAAGCAAGTGCTCTACTGTTGAGCCACAACCCCAGCCCTACGAGTTCACTTCTAATGAATAAGTATGAAGACTGGGAGATCACATTTGAGATTAGATTACAAAAAGACTGTGATTTCTGTCTCATGTGCCCTTTCCCTTGCTTTCTTAGCCCATTCTGCCATGCCATGAGCTGACCTATAAAAGAAGCCCACATAGAATTGATGTCTCTGTCTAATATTCAGAGAGGAACTGAAGTCTTCCAACAGCCAGGTGAGACAGCTTGGAAGGGAACATGCACCTTCATCCCCTGCCAAGGGGGCCTTGAGATAACGGAGCCCTGGCCTCCACTGCAGTCTTGTGGGAGACTTTGATGGGAGGCACCCAGCTGAACAATATATCCAGATCCCAACACTCAGCAATGAAGATAAGGTTTTTTAAGTTGATAAGTTTTTCTTTCTTTCTTAAAATTAGGGTGTTGTAATTATACATAGTATTTCAGTTCATTTTGACAAAATCATGTATGCAAAGAATTTTATCTCAATTCCCATTCCCTACCTTTTCCTCCCTTTCTCCTCCCCCTATTCTCCCTCCTCCATTCTACTGATTGTCCTTTCACACCTTTATATATTTCTCATTGGTAGTTTATATATACGTATAAAGATGAAATTCATAGATATTCATATGTCTATAATGATTTTGTTAAATTCAGTCTGTATTTCTTCCCCTTTGCCTTTACTCCTCCCTCCTTCTCATTCTTCTACTCTGCTGATCTTCCCTATATTTTTATGATATCTGATCCCCTCCCCCAACTCCTTCTTTCACATATTTTGCTCTAGCTTCCACATATAAGAGAAGACATTCAACACTTGATTTTCTGAGTGTGACATATTACATCACATGGTTTTCTACATTTCCATCCATTTACTGGATAAAGCAATTATTTCATTCTTCTTTATAGCTAAGTAAAACTCTGTGTGTGTGTGTGTGTGTGTATATATATATATATATATATATATATATATATATATATATATATATATGTGTGCCACATTTTCTTGATCCATGATTCATGTATTGATGGGAATTTGAGTTGATGAGTTGATTCCATAATTTGTCTATTGTAAAGTGTGCTTCTATAAACATGGGTGTGGCTATTTGTAATATGCTGATTTTAGTTCTTTTGGATAAATGTCAGGGAGTGAGACAACTAGGTCATATGGTGGTTTCATTCTTAGTTTTTTTTTTTTTTTTTTTTTAAGAAACTCCATACTGTCTTCCAGAATGGTTGCCACATTTTCTTTATCTATTCATCTGTTGAAGGGCACCTCATTTGGCTCTATAGCTTAGCTATTGTGAACTGAGCTTCTGTAAATGTTGATGTGCTGCATCCCTGTAGTATGCTGATGTATACTGAGGAGTGAGATAACTGGGTCAAATGGTGGTTCCATTTCAAGTTTTCTGAGGAATCTTCATACTACTTTTCATAGTGGTTGCATCAATTTGCAGTCCCACCAGCAATATATGAGCATACTATTTCCCCCACATCCTTGCAAACTTCACTTATTAATTGTTGATTTTATTTTTGTGCTTGGGGGAATGTAGACCCTATGTTTTCTTCTAGCAGTTACAAAATTTCTGGTCAAATTCCTAAACCTTTTATCCATTTCGATTTGAGTTTTGTGCAGGGTGAGAGATAGGGGTCTAGTTTAATTTTTTTTTTCTACATACAGATATTCAGTTTTCCCAGCACCATTTGTTAAAAACCCTATCTTTTCTCCAGAATTAATTTTTGTCAAGTATCAAATGGCTGTATGTATGCGGTTTTGTCTCTGTGTCTTCTATTCTTTTCCACTGGTCTTCACATCTACTTTGATTCCAATACTATGCTGTTTTTTGCTACTATCACATTGTAGTATATTTTGAGATGGGTATTGTGATGCCTCCTGCTTTGCTTTTTTTGTTCAGAATTGCTTTGGTTATTCTTGGTCTTTATTCTTCCAAATGAATTTAAGGACTGTTTTTTCCTAGTTCTGTGAAGAATGTCATTGGTATTTAGATGTGGACTGCATTGAATCTGTTATGCTGCTTAGTTTTGAGGTCATTTGCTATGCAGCTATAAGCAGCTAGTCATACACATACAAAATGTATTATATGCCTGTTATGTAGAAATTAAAACTACAAATATGCTTAAGACCATAAAGGAATATTTCCTCGGTCACACAGTTCTTCTCAAAAGAATCCTCATCCTTGTTATTTTATGTAGTGGAAATTTGACAAAATTTCTCATCCTGTCAATTTCCAGATTAATATTTAGATCTAGAAAGATTTACTCTTGAAATTTTATGTATATACACCCATATGTTTAAATGTAAGAACCAAACTCTTTTACCATGGACCATAATTTGAGGATATTTTTTAAAAGGATTTCTGTTAAACTAAAACTTAATCTAACTTGAGAGTTTTTTAGAAAGTTTTTCCAGTTTATTAATCCTCCCATGAAAAATTTGTATGATCACTGCAGATAGTCATCATAGAGTCTTTACTCTTCCTTTTGCCAGCACCCACATGGACCTTTGAAATCCCCCTGACTTTCTTCATTCTATTCTTGAATTCCTTTCCTTGTTTTTCTCCAGGCTATGTCTTGAAAATTTATGTTTAGGCTCATTTTTCTTATATGTTTTTGCATAATTCAAGAATCATAAATCATGTCAAATTTAGTTGTCTAGCCACCACCAAAATGGGTTATGAATTCAAATACAAAGACAACATCCAGCATTGACTCGTACATTTTGGTTAGTTTCCCCCAAATTTTTGTGTACTGCTGGCTTCCCAGGTGAAGAATACTGATAACCATTTATTTCCTCCCACATAGTCCATTGGTCACGTACCTCCTTGTCTGGATAATTACTATGTGGTTCATGATAGCAGCAGATGCTCGGGTAGCTAGGCAGGAATAGGGGAGTGCTCTCCACCCACCAATCCTATCAACACACAGAAGGAGCCCAGGGGTACCAGAGTGGGAACCAAGGCCTCTGTGTGAGACCACTGGGCCTGATGCCTGATTGAAAGTCCTCGGCTGAGTGTTTACTTAAGAAACACATCATTTTTTTCCATAATGTGTACTAATAGCAACTCAATAAATATTTTTCTCATCCCTTCATGGAGTTTTTAAAAAATATATTATACACTTACATCATCACCAACAAAGGGATGGTGTAAAGCATGATCATTATATCAAATCTTGAACATTAACAACATTTGGGTTTATGGTCTATCACCATATATATAGTTTTCTTTAATATTCTAACTGAAGCATTTGAAGATATTGAGATTTTTTTCTGTACATCTGAATTATTTTTTAAGGTCACTCTTAAAGATTCAGTCTGGAAATTAATGTCCTTATTGACCCAGAATTGTTTTATAGATGATCACAGATAGCAGTAGCATCCAGGAGTTTTGGCAATGGATTCTTTGTTCCTCTCATCTACATTCTGTGGGGGGCAGAAAGAGGCATCAAAACCCGCTCCAGCATGTCTGGGTCACCATGTGTGGCCAGACATAGGCCATCAAACCATTTAAAGGGCTCTTTTCACGGCATGAGGGAGCTGGTTTAGATAATCCAGCACTCTGTATTTATTCATTTGTTTAGTCAGGCAGTGAAATGAATTGAATTTACACACACTCTACCATGGACTGGGGATATGGGTAAGAGATTCATAAAAGAATGAAAGTTAGAAAGCAAGCAGCCTCAGTAATCACAGCTTTAAATGAACTTTAATTGTATTTGTTCTGGTTGTTTTTGACTGGCAATCAAATGCATCGTTAAAGATGTTACCATTATTGACTTAGAGCCTGTATTGCTTCAGTTGCCTTCACACGTAATTTCAAACTGTCTTATTAGGCACATTAACTGTGTGTTCTTTGTGGCCTTTATTCAGTTGCTAGGTTCTTGATAATGATGCTTTCATTACCACCTCTTCTTACAAAACAAATTGCAGAGTAAAGGCCAATAATCCTTTTATTAAAGAAACTATATATTGGAGAGTAGTTCAAAAGAAGTCTTTTTCATAAAACTTATGAAGGCATTGAGAGAAAGGCAGCAGAATACAACAGACACTAGTATAGCAATATGTAAAACAGTGGATGTGTAACTGATGTGATGCTGCAAACTGTATACGGGGTAAAAATGGGAGTTCATAACCAACTTGAATCAAAGTGTGAAATATGATATGTCAAGAACTATGTAATGTTTTGAACAACCAACAATAAAAATTTTAAAAAAAGTAGAAATGAAGCCAAAGGCCATCAGAACCTTACGGCTTATATAATTGACTCCCTGTGGGCAATTTTTGCAAGCATAAGTCTAACAAAAATAAGAAGGAGGGTAAGGGAGAGGATGATTGGAAAAGAACAAAACAAATAGAGAAGGGAGAGAAAGAGAAGGGAGAAATGAGAAGGAAAAAGGAGTGTAGAGAAGGGGAAAAGGAGATGACGGGTGAAGAGAAGATGAGAGAGAAAAAAAAGAGGTGAGAGGGCAAGGAGGGAGAGGAGCTAAGGGAAGGGGCACACTGTGGTTGGGGATTATTTTACCTCTTGATCACCCTCATATTTGGAGAGATATCTTCTTGGGGGCGCTCGTTCATCTCCAGTCCTGTGTCCCAGTGAAGCTGGCAATTAAAACCCTACCCCCTACCCCCCAACCCCCGACATTAAGGACGGTACAGAGGTGGGCCTGTGATCTGAGCCAGCCTAAGCAAAATAATTCCCCTTAGATTTTTCATATTGGAACTTGGGGAAAGGAGCAGCCTTTTCGTTATATTGAGACTGCATGATGTCAGACCTAAAATTACATGTCTTTCCTTGACTTGTGAGAACTGAGAGGGCGTCTGATGACTGAACTGTAAGTTCTCTGTCCTGTTCTGCTCCTATGGATTAATCCCCAAGCCAGTCAACCTTCTTTATCCAACAGACCAAGGGCAATTTTTATTTATCTCAAGGAGCTGGTTTCAGCTCCTGCAAACTGCTCTGAATCATTCAAATAATCCAATCACATTCTATTGTTGGAACCAGGGGGCCCCTTGCTCTCTGGATACCACAAAGGCTGCTTCCCAAAGCCCCTGGTTACTCACTACTCTGCAGAGTGCAGCCCCTGGTCCTGTGTGTCATGCATCATCCTCTCCTCTGAGCTGTGAGTGTAAGTGACTAATGACCTGCGTAGATCTTATCTGTGCAGTATCAAGTGTCATATGTTCAGCCAACTCTATAGCCCTCAGGTGGGATTCCTCTTTTACTAATGGGGTGGAAAAGAGACAATTAAAACAACATGTGCTTTAAATCAGCATATTATAGTGATGCAGCCACATCAATGTTTATAGCAGCCACAAAAAGCTAAGCTATGGAACCCACCTAGGTGCCCTTCAGCAGATGAATCGATAAAGAAAATGTGGTATGTATACACAATGGAATATTACTCAGCATTAAAGATGAATGAAATTATGGCATTTGCTGGTAAGTGGATGGAGCTAGAGAATATCATGCTAAACGAAATAAGCCAAACCCCCAAAATCAAAGGTCAAATATTCACTCTGATACATGCATGCTAACATACAAGAAGGGGCATGGGGAAGAATAGAAGTTCATTGGATTAGACAGAGGGGAATGAAGAGAAGAGGAAGAAATGACAATAGGAAAGACAACAAAATGCATCAGATATAAGTTTCCCACGTTCATTTACGATACACAACCAGTGTAACTCCACATCATATACAACTACAAGAATTGGAAGTTATACTCCAGGTATATATAATATGTCAAAATAAGGTCTACTGTCATATATATCTAAAAAGAACAAATAAAAAATAGAAAAAAACCTCAACAAAATGTGATGCAAATTAGTTGATACCAGGTCAGCCTTCTACCCTGTAAATTTGTTGGTGCAAAACCAACAGAAAAAGAAGGGCAGAATTGGTACTTACAGAGACAGACTTTGGGACTGAGAATTCCTTGTTCTATTCACCCTGGAGCATCTGCTTTTCCTACTATTTTCTCTTAAATTTTCATTTTCACTTTTTTAGTTTGATTAGAGATTTTTCAACGTCATCAAGAGATTATGGATACAAGCAGTAAGGTAAGAAATCAGGAAGAAAAAAATAATCAAAGGAAAGTTGTTATACATGTGAGTTGGAACAATAACCCCAACATTAATCAGTGAAACCAATGATATTTGATTGTTTGTATTTGAATTGAAATTAGTAAGTTTTTCTTAAGTAAGTGCATAATTAACCGATATATTTCTTCTAGAATGAAAGAGTATATAAAAGATAAAGAAAGCAAGGAATAGTCTATCATTGTGAACAAGGAAAAAAGCTCAGGTTGTATAAGACATGTACTGCAGTAGGCTAATGAAGAAAATAAAATATTAAGAAATTAGAGTATTACCTATCAACTTGTATTTATACTTAAAAGTGCTATTTTTAAGGATATAAAGTTTATATCTTGGAGTATTAAGGGGTCTTAAAGTCCATAACCTGATGATCTTTTAAAAATTATTTTTTATGGAAACAAAATTCACCTAACATAAAATTAACCATTTTCAAGTTTATGATTCAGTGTTCGTTGAGGTCATTCACAAAACAACCATTGCTCTATCTATTTTCAGAACATTTTGATCTTTCCTAAAGGAAACAACATGTACATTACACAGTTTCTTCTCATAGCCAGACCCAGCAACCACTAATCTGCTTTTTGTCTTTTTAGATTTACCTATTCTGATATTTTACATAAATGAAATCAGACAATATGTGGTCCTTTATGTCTATCTTCCTTTATTTAGCAAAAAGTTTTTGAGGTTCATACATCTTTCCCCATGTACCTATTCCTTTTAGTGGCTGAATAATATTCCATTATATGGATATACCATATAGTATTTATCTATTCGTACACCAATTGACATTTGCATATTTCCTTCATTGGGCTATTATTATAGCTAAATACATTTCTTTACAAGTCTTGAATATCTATTTTCAATTCTTTTGGATATAAACCTAAGAGTAAAACTGCTGTGTCATATGTCAATTCTAATTTTAACTTTTGAGGAACCACCAAACTTATCTACAGGAATTGCAATATTTTACATTCCCACCAGCAATGCATAAGGATTTCAACTGCAAAGCTTATTATTATGTGCTTGATTTGCATTTACCTAATGACTGATAATGTTGAGTTTCTTTTCATGTGCTTCTTGGCCATTTGTATGTATTTTTTTAGGAAAATGTCTATTTAAGACCTTTGCCCATTTAATTAGGTTGTTTGTACTTTAGTTGTTGGATTTTTAAGAGTTATTTATATGATCTGAATACTATATCCTTATCAGATGTGTGATTTGCTAATATTTTCTTCCATTCTACAAGATATCTTTGTAACATAATGATTTTGTACAGACCATTTCTATTCTTTCTCTAACTAATGTAAATGAGAATTTCTCCTATGTGTATTATCATTGAGTATCTATTTTCAACTTTATCCATACAATGAGAGGTTTTGCTAGAGTCACTGAATAAGAATAGAGTCTATATGACCCACCTCCCTAGCCACAGTCTTTGGTTTAAACCTAAACTTAACTGTATCTTACAACCCTAGACACAGATATTGGTCAATCATGCAAGCCAGATTAGATTAATCAGAATTCTTCCCTAGACTCTTCACTATCTTTTCATGAAGCTGTGATTATATTAGCTTAGAATCTACCATCAGTCATATTTCTTCTTGCCTAGAATGATAGTAGAAGAAGGTCAAACTAACATATTGTTTTAGTTAGCTTTTTTCATGCAGTGACCACAACACCCAATAAGAACAATTTAGGGGAAGAAAAGTTTATTTGGGGCTCATGGTCTCAGAGGTTTCAGTCCATAAATGGTTGACTCCGTTTATTTGGACCCAAGGTTAGGCAGCACATCATGGAGGAAGGGCATGGGAGAAGGAAGCTGCTCTCTTTATGGCAGCCAGGAAGAGGGTGGGAGAAAGAATATGAGAAGGAAGGGGCCACAGGGAAAGGTACCCTTCCAGGGCATGCCCCCAGTGACCCACCTTCTCCAGCCACGCCCCACCTGCCTACAGTGGTGGGTAGGCAAAATTACCAGTGCATTCAAACTAGGATGGATTGTTTAGGTTGTAGCTTTCATAATCCAATCACTTTACCTCTGAACATCCTTGCATGAACCCAGGAGCTTTTGGGGGGACACATGATACTCAAACCATAACACACAGAGCAAGTCTAACGGTATTTGAGTCCTTGGTTCTAGCTAGCTCCACACCTGCTTTGACTGTAAGTTAGTTATGGAAATAATATACTTCCCCTTTGGTTTAGGCTGGTGTGCTTTAGATTTTTAGATTTCCAGGTGATGTGGTAACATTATCTTGTGGGCATATCTCATAACTTCATAGCATTGTCACATTATAGGTTTACATGCTGCCTAGTGCTAATCTTAACTTGTGCTATAATTCTTCCCCAGAACTGGCATCTATTGGCTTCTCTCAACAAATTAATGACTAATAAGAAAATTGAAATTACTTCTGGTGGAACTATTTTACTGCTCTTTCTTTTTGAAAATATACACTAAAATTATTGGCCAGCTGCCCAAAACTTAAAACGCAGAGGCATTTTGAGAATTATTTAAATACCATGACCCTGTTTGCAGTTTCTATCAGTTACTGGAAGAATGCTATAAAAAGAGCATTTATGAAAAAGAATGTGTTGTGTAACCATCTGTGGTAGATGTAGGTGGTCTAAAAACTATTTATTTCATTCCTACTTTCACTCAGAAACTTTAAAACATGTGAATACCATTCAACCAAAGGAAGTAATCTAAGCCCTTTATTTGGAATTATTTTAAATAATCCTTTCTGTATTTTCTAAATTGGATTGTATAATTAGCTAATCCATCTACCTATTGTGATATTAGGTGGTAAAAAATGTCATGCATCCTGTCTTTGGTGTAATTGCATACATTCCTTTTCAATTTCCTTTTGTTGGCTTTAGCTATATTTTGTATCATAGCTTTAATAACTAGGATGTCTTTGGGGTGAAGAAAATCCCTAGTTTCCGATCTTTGTTATTTGCAAATTAATGGCTCTAAGTATCACATAAGCACTTCCATGATTGTTTGTCTTGGTGTGGCCCATGAGGAAAATGGTTTCCATTATCAAAATTATGCTGTTATTTGATGTGAGCCCTTGGTATTTTTCTGTTTTCAGTAAAAGTTCAGGAATGATCTGTTGGAAATCTCTTGACAAAGTTTAACAAGATCATATTGTTGAACTGGTAAACTTGGAATTTCCTTTACTAAGAATTCTAGCTTCGAAGCTTAAGTTTTTCTAAATTTATAGCTATTTTTCCTTCTGCCTTTGTTTCTTGCACTATTCTTATTTCAATAAACTATTTTATTAACTTTATCTTGTTATTTAATATTGATTACAGCTAAATTGTATAGATAGGGTAACATAACAAGTTCATGCTTTGAATTAATTACAAAGATAGGGAAAAGCTTCACTTAACTGATGGAATGACTCTGAGCTCTTGCCTGGAGTTCCACATAAAAGAGACCAAGAGGAAAATCTGACGATGGCTTTCTCCAAGTTAAGGGACAACTTCTAAGCTCTGGTTCTTACACAGCTTTTTCATAAATTACCCTCATTGTTGATTCCAATAACCTAGAATACAAGACTCTCTAATTTTATTTTTTCTAATTTAAAATTTTCTTTTAATTTTAAATTTATTTATTCTAATTGTTATACATAATAAAAGAAAGCATTTCAATTCATAGTACACATACAGAGCACAATTTTTCATGTTTCTGGTTATACACAAAGGAGAGTCACACCATTTCGTGTCTTCATACATGTACTTAGGGTAATCATGTCCATCTCATCCCACCATCTTTACTACCCCCATGCCCCCTCCCTCCCCTTCCCTCCCCTTTGCCCCATCTAAAGTTCCTCTATTCCTCCCATGCTCCACCCTCCCACCCCCATTACGGATCAGCATCCACATACCAGAGAAAACATTCAGCTTTGATTTTGGGGATTTGCTTAATTCACTTAGCATGATATTCTCTAACTCTATCCATTTACTTGCAAATGTCATTATTTTATTCTCTTTTATTGTTGAGTATGTGTGTGTGTGTGTGTG